ATGTGTGTGTGTGTTCATGATCAGGTGAGAAGCCTCATGTGTGTTCTGTCTGTGGGAAGACGTTTTCTCAGAGCGGCAGCAGAAACGTCCACATGAAGAAGAGACACAGCGGAGACGACAGCAGCACAGACACTGGTGATACACTCACTACAACACACACACACACACACACACACTCACAGTAATGATAAACACACTCACTGTAACATTTATAACACTTATAATACTTGTAAGACTTAAAACACACACACAATCATTATATCCGTAACACTTACGAGATCCATAATAACTATACTAATAACATACGATTTGTAACACTCATAAGATTCATAATACTTAAGTCTTATCAATTTTAATACTCATAACAATTCATAACGTGAATCCTGTAACATTTAATACTCGCAACATTTATGATACTCGTAACATTTATGATACTCGCAACAGTTATGATACTCGTAACAGTTGATACTCGTAAAAATGTTAATACTCAACATTAATGACCCTTGTAACATTTGACACTAAAAAATTTGAATATTCAACTTTTGATACTTGTAAAAATTTTAATACTCAACATTTATTATACTTACAACAATTATGATACTCGTAATAATTATGATACTCATAACAAATTACGATTGATTCATGTTCCATATGGATCACAACCCACAGTTCGGAACGCATGTGACCTGTGGATTAATAACGCTTTTGATTTTGTAGGTTACTCCAACATTGATAACAATGGCAGAGAGATCGCCACCTGCACATGTAGGAAAGCATTTAGTCCTCCCTTTAAAATATAATGACAGAAGATGTGGTGGTGGGACCTAAATGCTTTCGTAGGTTATTAATTAAAGGTGTTTTCTGTCTCTGTGTGTGTTCAGCCTGCATTAATGTGTTCAGTGTAAAGCTGCACGATTAAACATTAACAGATGGAGATCTCAAACCCCAGCAACATGAATGATCAATGATGATGATCTGCATATGTTTATTAATTCACATCTGTGTTTGAGTGAGAGATCCAGTTTTTACACTGCTTCAGTTCGTAACAAACAATTAAACAACACAGCAGCACTGGGGGAACAGTGTATAGTGCAGATATAAACACGCATGTTTATGGTCAAGATTAATAACACTGTTTAGTGGAATTCAGCGCCGGTGAATGTTGGAGCAATTACACTGTGCAGCCAACAGGTGGCGATAAACAATCATCAACATGACCTGTGATGAATCCTGAAGTTTAATGAGTGAACTGTTGAATCATTAATTGAGCATAAATATGATCTGCTGTAGGGATTATATATTCAGCATTATCAGCCACAGCAGCAAACATCAGTTTTACTAGCTGCTTCTCGATTTTTATTCACATCACAGGTTCTAAGTTCTGTTTGTTAATGCAAAGCAAATGACGTTTGTCTCCTTTTTTTCTGCAGAAATATGGTCTGATCCATTACAGCGCTACTCAACACTTTAAATACTCCTATTATCACACTCGTAACACTTAAACTGCAGATGTTTTTTTGTCAAAAATACATAACACGAGTAAAAACATTCGCATTTTATGCCAATAATTAAAATTAGAAATTTAGTACATTTTCTACTGTAGAAATGATCAGTAATATGATGCATTGCTAAGAACTTAATTTAGACAAATGTACAGCTCATTTTGTCAGTATATTTTAATCCTGTTCATATCTCAGCCAAACATTGTCCTCTCCTAATGAAACACATCTAGGAAAAGCTGATTTATCCTGCGTTATTGTAAAAACAACGACACCTATGACAGGACTTTGAGGTGACAAATGTCATTTAAGAGTAAATGTCTTTCTGAGTCAGGGGTGACCAACCCTGTTCCTGGAGATCTCCCTTCCTGCAGATTTCAGTTGCCACCCTTAACAAACACCTGCCTGTAATTATCAAGTGCTGTTCAGATCCTACTTAGTTGTTTCAGGTGTGTTTGATTAGGGCTGAACTCTCCAGGAAGGTAGATCTCCAGGAACAGGGTTGAGCACCCCTGTTCTAAGTGTTCCCAGTGCGCTGTGCTGTGAGTGACAGTGGGCGTGTCTATGTGTGTGTGTGTGTGTGTGATTGACAGCTGAAGCGCTCACTCAGAGCAGTCTGCTAGAGGAAGAGGGTGGAGTCAGTCTCCATCACTCCATATTAAGGACTCAGAGCTTCTGTCAGGACGGCACCTGTTCTCCGGCTGCACCTACAGACCCGCTTGCCGCTCTGGCTCCGCCCCATGAGCTCGTCTCCATGACGACAGGCCACACCTACAGTGATGATGTGGTCACTCTGCTGTAGCGGCGCACCTTGTAAATAAACTATTTTAGCAAAGCCACGGCTGATGTGTGGAGTTCATTCCTTCTCATCAAAACATTTCATCACCAGAATCAAAAATAAATGAAACTCAAACTGTGTAAACTGATTTAAGATGAAGCCCAGTGCAGCTTCAGTCAATAAAATGCTGTTTATTAAAAATAGTTTATTAACAACTGAAAGTAATTCCGACTGAATAGAGTAGGGGCGGGGTTTACTCTTCAGCTCCACTTTAACTCCGCAAACTTACAGTTGGAGGGGCGTGGCTAAGCATATTTCACCCAATCAGAATCATCAGCAGACAGGTTTCAATAATTTATTCATTTAAATATTCTGCGCAGTTAAACTGATTTAAAATCAATTTATTATATTATTATTATTATTAGGGGGGAGTCATTCACACACATGAATCGTTCACTTTAAGACATGATGTGTGCTGGTGAAATAAATATTGTACATTTGAGCTCAAGCTGACTGAGGCATGTTGAAAATAAAACACTCTTCCTCATCTGTTACACCCACCGCACTATTATGAGTTACTGCACCAAACTATGATTTAGTTGGTCAATGACAATGTAAAACTATAAATAATCAAGATCTTAATTAGCATTCATCAGGACTGTTAGACTAAACGTCATGTAAGTTGTCCTGATGTGCTCTGTGCTGTAATATCTTGTAATGTTTCCAAAAAAAATAAGAACTGTACATTTAATAAAGACTGAACTAGAAGAGTGAAAATGCAGTCTCAGCCATGGAGATCAGGCTGCTGTAAACACTGATGCTCAGGAGTGGAGTGGGATTTGATTGTGATTATTGATTGCTTCAGTGGATCCTGGACTTCTGGAAGTGGTCGATGGCAGCGCCTAAAGCCCAGCTGGTCTCCACATTCCTCACCTTCTTGGTTAACTGCGGGAAACACATGAGTGGTAACACCAGTTAACCATCAAAGTGTTATAATCAGTTAGACATGAGTGTTAACCAGTTAGACAAGAGAGTTAACCAGTTAGACGTGAGTGTTAACTAGTTAGACACGAGTGTTAACCAGTTAGACACGAGTGTTAACCAGTTAGACATGAGAGTTAACCAGTTAGACACGAGAGTTAACCAGTTAGACATGAGTGTTAACGAGTTAGACATGAGTGTTAACCAGTTAGACACGAGAGTTAACCAGTTAGACACGAGAGTTAACCAGTTAGACACGAGAGTTAACCAGTTAGACATGAGTGTTAACCAGTTAGACATGAGTGTTAACCAGTTAGACACGAGAGTTAACCAGTTAGACATGAGTGTTAACCAGTTAGACATGAGTGTTAACCAGTTAGACACGAGAGTTAACCAGTTAGACATGAGAGTTAACCAGTTAGACATGAGTGTTAACCAGTTAGACATGAGAGTTAACCAGTTAGACATGAGAGTTAACCAGTTAGACATGAGGGTTATAACCAGTTAGACATGAGGGTTATAACCAGACACGAGAGTTAACCAGTTAGACATAAGGGTTATAACCAGTTAGACATGAGAGTTAACCAGTTAGACATGAGTGTTAACCAGTTAGACATGAGGGTTATAACCAGTTAGACATGAGAGTTAACCAGTTAGACATAAGGGTTATAACCAGTTAGACATGAGTGTTGACACCAGTTAGAAATTAGTGTTAAACAGTTAGAAATGAGTATTAACTAGTTAGACAGGAGAGTTAACCAGTTAGGAGAGGTAACCAGTTAGACATGAGAGTTAACCAGTTAGACTTGAGTTAACCAGTTAGCATCAGTATTAACCAGTTAGGAGAGGTAACCAGTTAGACATGAGAATTAACCAGTTAGACTTGAGTTAACCAGTTAGCATCAGTGTTAACCAGTTAGACATGAGTGTTAACCAGTTAGCATTGGTATTAACCAGTTAGCATCACAGTGGTTATCAGCTAATCATGAGTTACCCAGTTAAAAATGAGAGTGTCAAACAGTTATTCATCAGAGTTAAGCAGTTAGCTGTGCGCATGTTAACTAGTTAGTCATGAGTGTTCCCTGGTTAGCCGTGAGTTTGTTAGCCGATTAGTGTGTTACTGTACCTGCAGGACGGTGCTCTCCTTGAAGCCGAAGCCGTCTTTCAGCAGGCAGGTGATGTAGGTCAGGTCCATACAGAGGAACTGGTTAAGCTGAGTGTGACGGGCCGGTCGGTTACACACTGAACACACACACACACACACATGAACAAGTGAAGTGAAATAGGTGTCAGCTAACAGGCTAAAATTTTGTGTGCTCATATGCTAATGCTCAGGTTATAACCTTTGACCCCTGATTAACACAAACTCTGAGTGTTGCGCCACAAAACCAAACTGCAGCACTGAGAGAAAACATGAAGTGTGAGAACGAAACATTGTGTAGTGCATAAAGATATGATATATTGTCCAGCAGGTGGTGCTAGAACAACCAAACTATGCAGCACCGACAGAAGATATCCAGTGTAGTGTAGTGTGTAGTGTAGTGCGTTCAGCCATTAATGATGCAGAATAATAATGAATCAATGTTAAAATCTGTCTGTGATCATGCGGGAACGATTACAGCGAGCACTTATTAAAGGCTGAGCGTGTGTCAGGGCAGACTGCTGAAAACACACTGTGATGGTTATAAACTGATATATAGTGCAGGCATTTTAGTGTTTCGCTCAGTGATTCAGGATCCTCTATGCTAGCAGCTAGCTGTCTAAAACACATTAAGTATGAAGTTTAGGACTGATGAGCAGTATTTTTGCGGTTTTCTGCTGAAGTTTTCGCCTTCAGATGTTTCGTGATTATGAGCTGTGCTTTACAGATCTGAGTAATGAATATAATCCTGACTGACATGAAAACAGGACAGGTCAGAGCAAAATGAGTAAAGCATGAGCCCAAATGAAGAAGAGCTTCACCCTGTCGAGCAGTTTTCCTGAAGTCTCGGACCTTCACGGCTCCTCCACGCTGCTCATCTGAAGAAAACACACTCCAGTCAACCACTGTGCTCTAATAGCTACATTTACACAAATATTCAGACACACAATGAGATTAAAGTCCTACATTCTGAGAAAAACATTACTGTGTTGAGGAAAACCTTCAAAACAAAGGATGAAAACGTTGAGAATAAACTCTTGAAATTCAATAATAAAGAAAAAAATACTAGTCAAATTTAAAGCATGACTAAATAAGGTGTTTCTGTGTGGAGTTTGCATGTTCTCCCTGCGTTCGCGTGGGTTTCCTCCGGGTGCTCTGGTTTTCCCCACAGTCCAAACACATGCGGTACAGGTGAATTGGGTAGGCTAAATTGTCTGTAGTGTATGAGTGTGTGTGTGAATGAGTGTTTAGGGATGTTTTCCAGTACTGGGTTGCAGCTGAAAGGGCATCTGCTGAGTAAAACATATACAGGAATAGTTGGCGATTCATTCTGTGGTGGCAAGCCCTGATAAATAATGGACTAAGCCGAAGGACAATGAATGATTGAATGAATGAAAGTGTTTGTTTTTTTTTTAAACAAAACAATTACGAACTAAAATGAATGTTGAGAATAAACTCATTACACTGAGAAAAATGTCTCTGGTTTGACAAAAAATAATTAATAAAAAATTTTAAGTCAATCAATTTAGAAAATAAAGAAAATAAATTTTCTATAAAAAAAAGGTAAATTCAAGAGAGGAAAAAGCTGAATATAATGTTGAGAATAAGCTGCTCATCTGAAGAAAACCCACTCCAGTCAACGGCCGTTTTCCAGAAAAATAATAACTCAAAAATAAAAACTCACAAATTAAAAAAAAAAAAATGGTGAAAATGTTTGGAATAAACTAATGAATTACAATAATAAAGTCTTTGTGTTTGGAGAAAAAAAAACTACAAAACATGAAGAAACTGAAAATGAAGTCTTCCAGAGTTCAGTCATTGTGCTTCCAGGAAATAATTGTTAGATTTCATTAAAAAATAAACTAAACAAAATGAATGTTGTGAATGAACTTATGAGATGGAAATAATGTGCAAATTAATTAGTTGAAAATAAATTAAATAGATTTATATAATTAAAATAATAATAGTTAAAATAAACTCAATATATTTTGATAAACTCATCGCTTTGAGTCATTTATTCTTCTGGCAGCTGGTAAAAAATAATAATAATAAAATGGTTAAAATTGGAGTCACATACAGTTGAAGAATATATTGATGCAGTGCACACTTCTTCATTAGGAAATTAATTATTTTTTTCTAATTTAGAGTAAATGGACTGAGTATATTTCACCAATATGCCTGAATTTTTCTTGAATTGTACCTTTTAAATGTAATATTATATGTCTAAGATTTGTAGCTCCCCATGTTTTACTGTTTATAGTTGATGTTGTTAAAGGGAATAAAGTACAAAGCATATGCAAGATCTGTAAGTCTCTTTCTGTATGAGAGATTATGTGAGTTACATATGTATATTGTTTTGAAAACTCAAAAAAAAAATCTCGATTTGAGAAAAAAATATTTATAGAATATAGAAAAAATATTTCAATTTGAAGAAAAAGAGACCAAATGAAATGTTGAGAATGATCACGTTTTGATGATAAAGTCATTGTTTTGAGAATAAGAAGACTAAATAACATCTTGAAAAGCTGTAAACGTCACTAAAGTCATTTGCTCTTGAGAAATAATGAATAATAAACTCATAAATGTTGAGAATAGAGTCATTACATTTTGAGGATCAGGTTAAACCCTAGCGATAATGTAGTAACATTTCAAGAAACAAGACAGAATAACAAACAAACACGAACAAAATCAGTGTTTGAAGAAAAAGGTCATTCAAGAGAAAAAAACGGCAAAAAAAATGTTAAGAATAAAGTTAATAAAGTTAAGAACAAAGTGGTATTTTAAGAGGAAAAGATAAGTAAAACATAATAAAATACATTTTACTAATAAAGAAAATTAAAAATGGAATATTTCAAGAATAAAATGACAAAAACTATATTGAAATTATAATTATTCACTTTTGATGAAGTCCTCATGTTTCATCATTTTTCAAATTTAAAACACTTATCATAAATAATATTGAGAGAATAAAATCAATAAATTCAATAACGTTTCAACAAAATAAGGTACAATTTCAGAGGAAAAGTGGCTGAATAAAATGTTCAGAATGACAGAGAATTTAGAAAGTTGTTTCAATAAAAATGGATGCATTTCAAGAAAAAAATATTAAATAAAATGCATTTTGCTAATAAAGTCGCGTTTCAAAAAATATTTATAATGTAAAGAAAAAATGGCTAAATAAAATGTTCAATTTCACTAATAAAGTCATGGGCTGTGTCAGAAGCCGCCTACTACTCAGTAGGTGCTGCATTTGAATTTAATCACACTACTCGGCCGTTAGAAAAGTGCATTCTATACAGTATGAATGTGAAAAGTATGAATGGAATTCGAATGTACTACATCCGCCATTTTGTCACCTATTTTGTGACCTAGCCGCATCAGTCGCGTTGCTTCACTTCCATTCATGAATTCTCTCGCGGGGCATTATGGGATAGCATAGCGTGCAATGAATGCGCACTTCAGAATCTCGCCAGAAGTAGTAAGTCATCCGGGTACTTCTCGCATACTGATTTCCCAATTCTATGAATTCAGACACACTACTCGGCTCACACACTGATTTTAGCGTACTATACAGTATGGAAGCATGCGGTTTCAGACGCAGCCGTTGTGTTAGATTTTATTTGAAATGTAAAGGATAAAGTGTTTGCTGTGTGCAGGAATATGAGTAAAGCTGTACCGATGAGTCCGGCCTCCACCGCGTGATCATAATAATAAGAGAAAGCGTAGAAGGAGGAGGAATCCCTGAGCTCCAGCGGCTGCTTGATGATGCCCTTCACCACCTTCACCAGCTCCTGATAGCACGCCTTATAGCCCCTCACACCTGCACACACACACACACACACACACACACACACACACACACACACACACACACACACACACACACACACACACACACACACACACACACACACACACACACACACACACACACACACACACACACACACACACACACACACACACACACACACACACACACACACACACACACAATATTTAGTCTTGTTCAAATATTTCCGAAATATTTCTCTCATGGTGTTGAACAGATTGAGGAAATGTTCACAGTATGTCTGATAATATTTGTTCTTCTGGAGAAAGTCTTATTTGTTTTATTTCGGCTAGAATAAAAGCAGTTTTAAAGCCATTTTAAGCTCAATATTATTCACCCCTTCACCAAAACTGCAAAAATCAGTGCTCAATTTGCTGCACCTACAACAAACACGCAAGATACAACACCAACACCACACACACTCACCTCTTTTTCTCAGCTCTCTGAGTCTGAGGTGTCCAAACTTGTGCTATCTAGCCATGCAACCACCTGTCCACTCGATCCCATTCCCTCTCATCTCTTGCAAGCCATCTCTCCTGCAGTCATACCAACACTGACTCACATAATTAACACATCTCTTGACTCTGGTTTATTCCCCACTACATTTAAGCAGGCTAGGGTAACCCCACTGCTAAAGAAACCCAACCTGGACCATACGCTACTTGAAAACTACAGACCAGTATCCCTGCTTCCATTCATGGCCAAGATTCTGGAGAAAGTAGTGTTCAATCAAGTCCTGGACTTTCTTACTCAAAACAATCTCATGGACAACAAGCAATCCGGCTTTAAGAAAGGCCACTCAACTGAGACTGCCCTGCTCTCGGTCGTGGAGGATCTCAGACTGGCTAAAGCAGACTCTAAATCATCAGTCCTCATTTTGCTGGACTTGTCAGCTGCTTTTGACACTGTCAACCACCAGATCCTGCTATCTACGCTTGAGTCACTAGGCGTTGCGGGCACTGTTATACAATGGTTCAGATCTTACCTCTCTGACAGGTCATTCAGGGTGTCTTGGAGGGGAGAGGTGTCCAACCTACAGCATCTAAACACTGGGGTACCTCAAGGCTCTGTTCTTGGGCCACTTCTCTTCTCCATCTACACATCATCTCTAGGACCAGTCATCCAGAAACATGGATTCTCCTACCACTGCTATGCTGATGATACCCAGCTATACCTCTCTTTTCATCCTGATGATCCCTCGGTTCCAGCTCGTATCTCAGCCTGCCTGTTGGATATTTCACACTGGATGAAAGATCATCATCTTCAGCTGAACCTCGCAAAAACGGAAATGCTTGTAGTTTCTGCCAACCCGACTCTACACCATAACTTTTCAATCCAGATGGATGGGGCAACCATTACTGCATCCAAAATGGTGAAAAGCCTTGGAGTAACGATTGATGACCAACTAAACTTCTCTGACCACATTTCTAGAACTGCTCGATCGTGCAGATTTGCACTCTATAACATCAGAAAGATCCGACCCTTCTTATCTGAACATGCAGCTCAACTCCTTGTTCAAGCTCTTGTTCTCTCCAAACTGGATTACTGCAACTCTCTACTAGCTGGGCTTCCAGCTAACTCTATCAAGCCTCTTCAGCTGCTCCAGAATGCAGCAGCACGAGTTGTCTTCAATGAACCTAAAAGAGCACATGTCACTCCGCTGCTCATCCGTTTGCACTGGCTGCCAGTTGCTGCTCACATTAAATTCAAAGCTCTGATGTTTGCCTACAAAGCGACTTCTGGCTTTGCTCCTTCTTATCTGCTCTCACTTCTGCAGATGTATGTGCCTCCAGAAACTTGCGTTCTGTGAATGAACGTCGCCTCGTGGTTCCATCCCAAAGAGGGAAGAAATCACTTTCCCGAACTCTCGCGTTCAATCTGCCCAGTTGGTGAAATGAACTCCCTAACTGCATCAGAACAGCAGAGTCACTCGCTGTCTTCAAGAAACCACTAAAAACTCAACTATTTAGTCTCCACTTTCCTTCCTAATCTGCAATTGCCTCTCTGAATATCACACTGACTGTACAAAAAAATAAAAAATAAATAAATACAAAAATAAAAAAAACCAATACTACTAATACTTTCTTTCTTAGACTTTACAGACCTGAAACTTGCCTATAGCACTTATTCATTGTTGCTCTTAGTTGTGTAAATTGCTTCCTTGTCCTCATTTGTAAGTCGCTTTGGATAAAAGCGTCTGCTAAATGACTAAATGTAAATGCAATATTAGTGTTGGATTGTCTCCAGAACAAACCCCTGTTATACAATGACTTGCCTAATTACCCTAACTTTACCCTAATTACCCTAGTGAAGCCTTTACATGTGACTTTAAGCTGAACACTAGTGTCTTGAAGAATATCTAGTCTAATATTATGTGCAAAAATAAAGAGAAAATAAATCAGTTATTAGAGATGAGTTATTAACACTGTTATGATTAGAAATTTGCTGAACAAATCTGCTCTCTGTTAAACAGAAACTGAGGGAAATATACAGGAGAGTGAATAATTCTGTCTTCAGCTGTGTGTATATGCAGCACAAAAGTGAAACAGCATGAGACTGAACTTATTTTTTCAATAACTCGATCCTCAGAGTGCAGAGAACTGGGCTGAATGTTGATTATGATGATTTCTCAGACATGAGTGTGTGTGTGTGTTTTCTCAGTCATAAATATATGTGTGTGTTTTCTTAGACATGAGTGTGTGTGTGTTTGTGTTGAGTGTTTTACCGCTGATGTCGCCGCTGACGTGATACGAGACGCCACCGAAGCTGAACTCTGCTGTGTGTGATCTGGACAAACAAGAGCTGCGGAAGAGCTTTTTCTCCAGACCTGCCACACACACGCAGACACACAGGTGAACACACACACACACAAAAGTACATGCACAGATGAACACAAACACACACACAGACTCGTGTCTCGTACCGTCTGCATTCAGGGCCCCGAGGGCTGACAGTCGCGCAGCTTTAATGCCGTTTCCCAGATAACTGAAGAACACAAGAACAGCAGCACTACGGTAAACACACACGCTGCAGAATGGTCAGTGTAAGTGTGTGTGTGTGTGTGTGTGTTCACCTGTGTGTGTAGAGCTGATAGCTGCAGTTGAACATCTGGAATCTGCTGATGTAGTCGGGCGGAGCAGCTTCAATGGTTTTCTGTGAGAGTGAAACACACACAACACACACCTGAGGAGGATGGTGCCGGGAAATGACTACACAGTTCTTCAACAGTTTTAGGCAACGCTTGGTTGTGGCCAGGGTCTTACTATGAGGTTACAAATTAATCTAGGCCCTGGCATTGGTTTGCAGTTGCTTAGTGTTGTGAGTGGTTGCCGGGGTGTATCCATGCCGTTGCTGTTCTCTGACCTTTGACTTGGGCAGGAAGGTGATCTGTGTTGATCCTCCACCGAGGTCCAGGATTCCTACTGTCTTCTCTGTGTTTCGCTCCAGTCGACCTGAAAGCAGCATGTAAACACACACTGAAGATCCGGATCTGATAAACACTCGTGAACGCTTTGATGGTAATAACACTGCATCAGTATTGATCAGAGTTACTGTGTGATGCTCTCATCAACTCAGGCCAAATACTGTCTTCAACAACACCTTATGTGTTTATTTGTTTACATTCCTCAGTGCACTAATCCATTAAATGACTAATCGATTAATGTGGATTAAAATCAATGAATTAAAAACATGTTGAATAGCACAGACTGAGAAAAATAATACATATATATATATATATATATATATATATATATATATATATATATATATATATATATATATATATATATATATATATAATATATAATACATCAATGAATAACAAGTTCTTGCATGTTAATGACTTGAATTGCAGGGTTTGTATTTTTAAGTCCTGAAATTTAACAGCTGTTTATTTAAGCTGGGAATATTTTAACAAAAACTTTTTCATACTTATCAATTCAATAATTCATATTCAATTTCCAGATTTCACTTATATATGCTGCTGTGTTTACAAAAGATCAAGTTCACTTTTAAGCAGATTAAATTCGAGGTTACTGAGTGTGTTTTAGTAAACGCAGATCTCACCTGTCAGAAAGTTGACTGTGACCCAGGCCAAAATCCCTGTCAGAAACACCATCAATAACCCAGGGTTATTATAGTCCAGAATACAGCCTTTTCTGATGCTTAAATTAACATTTAACAAAGGTCAGTTCACTCATACTCATTATTTACTCTCCAAGTGGTTTTCAAACATTTATGAGTTTCTCCTGTGGAAGACAAAGGAAGATATTTTGAATTATGTTGAAAACAGGTATCCATTGACCTCCATCGTAGGAAAAACAAATGGAAGTCAATGATTAATTTCCAACATTCTTCAAAATATTTTCTTTTGTATTTAACAGAAGAAAGAATCTCATAAAGGTTTGGAAACAAGTTAAGGATGAGTAAATGATGACAGATTTATTTATTTATTTATTTATATATTTATATATATATATATATATATATATATATATATATATATATATATATATATATATATATATATATATAATACGGGCCACCTTATTAGGTACACCTGTCCGACTGCTCATTAACGCAAATTTTTAATCAGCCAATCAGGCAATCATGCATTTAGGCATGTAGACATGGTCAAGATGATCTGCTGCAGTTCAAAGCGAGCACCAGAATGGGGAGGAAAGGGGATTTAAGAGACTTTGAACATGGCATGGTTGTTGCTGCCAGACGGGGCTGCTCTGAGTATTTCAGAAACTGCTCATGTACTGGGATTTTCACGCACAACCTTCTCAAGGGTTTACAGAACAATCTGCAGCAACTGTGTGACGCTATCATGTCAATATGGAGCAAAATCTCTGAGGAATATTTCCAGTATCTTGTTGAATCTGTGCCATGAAGGATTAAGGCAGTTCTGAAGGCAAAAGTGGGTCCGATCCGGGACAAGTAAGGTGTACCTAATAAAGTGGCCGGCGAGTGTATGCACACGCATGTGAAAATAAAATTTTTATTAAAATGAAACATAAATAAAAAAAACTATACAGACACATTAAAAATAAGTACAAATACAATTATTATAAAATATTTTAAAATAAAAGAAAAGAAAAAACAAACTAGTCTCTTAATGAGTATAAATAACACTGGAGTAAACACAATTCTAATTGTGTGCAGGAAATAATGATCGTTTATGAATAGTCTTTACTAATGTAAAACATGAATGTAGAGTTGATTTTAATGAACTTATTTTGTAAAATAACTCTCAAAGCGCTTTACAAACAAGCAACACAACAGAGAAAAACACACATGAATAACCCAATAAAACAATCAAAAAAACACAAATTAATTAAACAAATAGATTTCAACATCTAAAACTGTAAGAGCATGTAAAATGAGTCCAGATAAAGGCAATGCTAACAGAAAACCGTTTATATGATGATTATGTGATCCGCTGTGTGCGTCAGAAAACATGATGATAACAATAATTATGATAATAATGTGTGTGTGCATAACGTCTGCTAAACGAACCGCAGACAGGTTACCTACACAAACTAGCAGCGTCTGAGCTCTTAATGTACTGTTATTAACTACATTTACACACTGTAAAAACTGCTGGTTTTTAAGTTTTGAATCAAACATTAAATGGAAGACATTTCATTAAAAAAATAAAGTTATATTTTTTTCTTTAAAAAAATCTTTTAAAATTCATATTTAATGTAATGTATTGCTTGTTGTTTCTTTGTAATTATTTTTACATTTGTAAGCAAAACAATTTTTTAACACTTTAATTATTTTTTATTATATTATTATTTTTTTTATTTTATTATTGCTGCATTCTTTAAATAATTTCCATTTATTTGCAAAAATATTTTATATTTCAGAAGAAAACGCTTTATTAGATTTCAGTGAAAAGTGAGAGTTTTGGACATGCAGGATAGTGATAATAATAAGCATGTTTATTTGTTACATCTGTTTGAGTTTCTTATAAGCTTGTTTTTGCTCTAAATAAACTGTGTAAAACTGAAACCGTCGCTCTTAGAGTTTAGATCTTTTTTACCAGATGGAGATTGAGTTGAAGCATCTAGCAATGAGCCTATTTAAGCTGCGTTTCCTAAAGGGACTATTCAAAAATACATATTTTGTCTTTATTTACACTTTTCACAATGAAAATATAATAATAATCCCAAAAGTGCAACGAAGACTATATTAACTTATTTACCTGTTAAAGTCATTACAATGCGAGTATATTCATATTAAGAATGTGCTTACAGTCACACAAAACATTGTCATTTTTCTTTTATAATTGATTTGGACATCTCGTGTGGACAAACCTTCACTGGTGCCGTTCATGATCCTGACGCTGTCTGGAGGAACGTAAAACGGAGACTCATCAAAGACGTCCTGGACCTGCAGACATAAACATTATGTTAAACACTTACTATCATTTAGTGTGTGTGTCACTGACCTCTGGTCAACTTTGTTACATCCGTTTTAAAAAGGCAGAACAATCTGTAAAGCACTGATAGAAAAATCTGAAAGAAAAAAGGTTTTAGACACGCCGTGTGAAGTCTGTTTATAGGTTAGCATCTGGAGCTAAACCACAACATGATGGAAATGTCAACTCTGTTACGCCAACTCTGTTACTGTCAACTCTGTTACTCATCAACTGTTATCGTCAACTCTGTTACCGTCATCTCGGTTACCGTCAACTGTAATCGTCAACTCTGTTATCTCTGTTATAACTGTTATCGTCATCTCGGTTACCGTCAACTGTAATCGTCAACTCTGTTATCTCTGTTATAACTGTTATCGTCAACTCTGTTATCTCTGTTATAACTGTTATCGTCAACTCTGTTATGCCAACCCTGTTATCGTCCACTCTGTTATCATCCACTCTGTTATCAACAACTGTAATCGTCAACTCTGTTACGCCAACTCTGTTATCCGTCATCTCTGTTATCCGTCAACTCTGTTATCGTCCACTCTGTTATTGTCAACTCTGTTATCATCAACTGTAATTGTCAACTCTGTTATTATCCATTGTTATCATCAACTCTGTTATCGTTAACTCTGTTACTGTCAACTATGCCATAGGTAGTTGGTAGATAATTGTAAAGCCTGCCGCCACAGCTGGAAAAACCCCTAGAGGAAACACTGAACTCTGTTACTCGTCAACTCTCTTACTGGCAATTCTGTTACTGTCAACTCCGTTACTCGTCAACTGTAATCGTCAACACTGTTACTGTCAACTGTTATCGTCAACTCTGTTATCGTCAACTCTGTTACTCGACAACTCTGTCAACGTCAACTGTTATTGCCAACTGTATTACTCGTCAACTGTTACTTGTTGACTGTTATCTTCAACTCTGTTATCGTTAACTCTGTTTCTCGTCAACAGTCAACTCTGTTACTCGTCATCTCTGTTACCGTCAACTCTGTTATCAGTCAACTCTGGTATTGTTCATTGTCATCATCAACTCTGTTATCGTCAACTCTGTTATCGTCAACTCTGTTATCCGTCAACTCTGTTATCGTCAACTCTGTTATCCGTCAACTTTGTTATCCGTCAACTTTGTTATCCGTCAACTCTGTTATCGTCAACTCTGTTATCCGTCAACTTTGTTATCCGTCAACTTTGTTATCCGTCAACTCTGTTATCGTCAACTCTGTTATCGTCAACTCTGTTATCGTCAACTCTGTTATCGTCAACTCTGTTATCGTCAACTCTGTTATCGTCAACTCTGTTATCGTCAACTCTGTTATCCGTCAACTCTGGTATTGTTCATTGTCATCATCAACTCTGTTATCGTCAACTCTGTTCGTCAACTCTGTTATCGTCAACTCTGGTATTGTTCATTGTCATCATCAACTCTGTTATCGTCAACTCTGTTCGTCAACTCTGTTATCGTTAACTCTGTTTCTCGTCAACAGTCAACTCTGTTACTCGTCATCTCTGTTACCGTCAACTCTGTTATCAGTCAACTCTGGTATTGTTCATTGTCATCATCAACTCTGTTATCGTCAACTCTGTTATCGTCAACTCTGTTATCCGTCAACTCTGTTATCGTCAACTCTGTTATCCGTCAACTTTGTTATCCGTCAACTTTGTTATCCGTCAACTCTGTTATCCGTCAACTCTGTTATCGTCAACTCTGTTATCCGTCAACTTTGTTATCCGTCAACTTTGTTATCCGTCAACTCTGTTATCGTCAACTCTGTTATCGTCAACTCTGTTATCGTCAACTCTGTTATCGTCAACTCTGTTATCGTCAACTCTGGTATTGTTCATTGTCATCATCAACTCTGTTATCGTCAACTCTGTTATCGTCAACTCTGTTATCCGTCAACTCTGTTATCCGTCAACTCTGTTATCCGTCAACTCTGGTATTGTTCATTGTCATCATCAACTCTGTTATCGTCACATCTGTTCGTCAACTCTGTTATCGTCAACTCTGGTATTGTTCATTGTCATCATCAACTCTGTTATCGTCAACTCTGTTATCGTCAACTCTGTTATCGTCAACTCTGTTATCGTCAACTCTGTTATCCGTCAACTCCGTTATCTGTCAACTCTGTTATCCGTCAACTCTGTTATCGTCAACTCTGTTATCGTCAACTCTGTTATCGTCAACTCTGGTATTGTTCATTGTCATCATCAACTCTGTTATCGTCAACTCTGTTCGTCAACTCTGTTATCGTCAACTCTGTTATTGTCAACTCTGTTATCGTCAACTCTGTTATCGTCAACTCTGGTATTGTTCATTGTCATCATCAACTCTGTTATCGTCAACTCTGTTCGTCAACTCTGTTATCGTCAACTCTGTTTTGTTCATTGTCATCATCAACTCTGTTATCGTCAACTCTGTTATCGTCAACTCTGTTATCCGTCAACTCTGTTATCCGTCAACTCTGTTATCCGTCAACTCTGGTATTGTTCATTGTCATCATCAACTCTGTTATCGTCACATCTGTTCGTCAACTCTGTTATCGTCAACTCTGGTATTGTTCATTGTCATCATCAACTCTGTTATCGTCAACTCTATTATCGTCAACTCTGTTATCGTCAACTCTGTTATCGTCAACTCTGTTATCCGTCAACTCTGTTATCCGTCAACTCTGTTATCCGTCAACTCTGTTATCCGTCAACTCTGTTATCGTCAACTCTGTTATCGTCAACTCTGGTATTGTTCATTGTCATCATCAACTCTGTTATCGTCAACTCTGTTCGTCAACTCTGTTATCGTCAACTCTGGTATTGTCAACTCTGTTATCGTCCACTCTATTATCGTCAACTCTGTTTTGTTCATTGTTATCATCAACTCTGTTATCGTCAACTCTGTTATTGTCAACTCTGTTATCGTCCACTCTATTATCGTCAACTCTGTTTTGTTCATTGTTATCATCAACTCTGTTATCGTCAACTATGCCATAGGTAGTAGGTAGATCAAGGCCTGCCGCCACAGCTGGAAAAACCCCTAGAGGAAACACTGAACTCTGTTACTGTCAACTCCATTACTCGTCAACTGTTCTCGTCAACACTGTTACCGTCAACTGTTATCGTCAATTCCGTTACCGTCAACTCTGTTACTGTACCCTCTGTTACTGTCAACTCCATTACTCGTCAACACTGTTACCGTCAACTGTTATCGTCAACTCTGTTATTGTCAACTCTGTTATTGTCAACTCTGTTATTGTCAACTCTGTTATTGTCAACTCTATTACTCATCAACTCTGTTACTTGTCGACTCTGTTATCATCGACTCTGTTATTGTCAACTCTGTTATCGTTAACTCTGTTACTCGTCATCTTTGATATCGGTCAACTCTGTTATCGTCAACTCTTTTATCGTCAACTCTGTTATCGTCAACTCTGTTATCGTCAACTCTGTTATCGTCAACTCTGTTATCCGTCAACTGTTATTGATCTCATTTGTTGCGTATCACTGCAGTTTAAGCAAAGTAACACCAGCTGTACCTCCTCCAGCAGTGCATGGGCTTTAGCGGCGGGCAGCAGTCTGAGTCCAGCGGTGGCTCTGAACACCAGCGGCGTCCGCTTCCACTCCAGTGGAGGAACTGTCTTCTTAGCCACTCGCAGCAGCTGACGCACTGTATGACCCGCCTGCACACACACATCAGCACATGAATGACACAAACACACACACAAGCACATGAGTGACACGCACACATCAGCGTATGATTGACACACACACATCAGAACACACACATGCACATGCACACACAGGCTCATCATACTCACAATCTCAGGCATGTCTGCATATGCGGAGAGTCCGGGCTTCATGGAGTGGAACATTTCATTGTCCAGTACTGGCAGTCCATCTGAAGCAGAAACACACAAGCACACTGCAGTGTTTATTCACATCAGCACCACTACACACACACACACACACACCAATGATGAAGCATCTGAAATTGAATGCAAGTTCACAACAATACTTTAACGAACATAACTTAGAACCTTTAATTTCAATACAATAAAATAAAGAAATAACCAGCGGAATAAAACAAATTTACTATTGAATACTGTGAAAAACAATCTTCGCCAGCGTTGCTGATAAAGCTAAATGTCTAAATTTAACATTATAATCTAGCACAACACATTTTACTCTCATTTTTAATTAATGATTCAATAATTCACTCATTAAAACTTGTTCAAAATCCTTCATTACTAGATGAAGGAGAAGAATTAATCAGTGACACATTTTTGCTGGTAGTTTGTCGACCCCTGTTGGTTAATCAATGTAATTGCTACAACTAAAACTCATTTTGAGCGTTATGTAGCATTAGACTGATGATAATCTTTATCATAAACTTCCGTATTTACAAGCCCAAATCAGAAAAAGCTTGCGACAGCATGGAAAACACAAATAAAAAGAAAGCAGTGATTTATAAACTGACTTGTATTTCACTGCAGACAACAAGCACACACAATATTTGATGCTTTGTCCGGTCAACTTCACTTCATGTGTGAATCTCCATCCTCTCCTGCCATTCAGAGCTCAACACACTCCAGAAACAGAGACAGCAGCAGGTGAACTGCTGAATAATGATGTGATGTCCACAGGTGATTAGGATCTGGTCATCAAGAAAGCTCTAGTCCTTTAGCAGCAGAGATGGGCCGAGGATCACCAACAAATACGAGAGAAAATGACTGAGATGTTCAAACACAATGTTCCTCAAAGAGAGAGGTGAAGACATGTGGATATTTCACCTTCAACAGTGCAGAACATCATTAAAGACTGAAGGAATCTGGAGGAGTTTCAGTGTGTAAAGGACACGAGCGCAAGCCTAAGCTGAACAACCGTGACCTCCGACCCCTCAGGGGGCGCTGCATCAAGAGTCCTCATTCATCTATAAGCCAGATCAGCACATGGGCTCAGCGGTAAACCTTTGTCAAGCACCACAATACAGAGTCACATCCACAAACGCCAGTTAAAACTGCACTGTGCCAAAAGGAAGCCCTATGTTAACAGTGTCCAAGAGCGCCGTCCACTTCTCTGGGCTCGGAGGCATCTGGGATGGAGCATCACACAGTGGATATGTGTACTGTGCTCAGATGAATCAGGTGTGATGTGTTTGTGTGTGTGTATTTTCTAACCTGGCTCTCTCTGGATGAAGGTGTAGACGTGGATGCGTGTGCCGGTGCTGCCAGCGTCAAACATGATGCCGTAGAAGATCTGAGTGGAGTTTGCAGGACGGCTGAGAGATGGCAGAGTGTGTCCAAAACGCACCGAGAAATCAGCAGCAGCAGAAGAAGAAGGAGGAGAAGAAGAAGAAGCAGACGAGGACAGCAGGAGGAGAGTCCAGACGGGCAGCAGCCAGAACATCATCATCTTCATCACCATCTGCAGACAAAGAACAGGAGCCAGTCACACCGAGGAGCTTATATAGCACACACACTCCAGCAATCAGCACAATCCAGCAATCATCAGATCACCAGCACACACACACACACTTAAACACACATACCACAAACCTGTCCTAAATCCGCCAGAGCTGCAGACAGAGGTGCAGGATACAACAGGTTCATGAACCATCAGCAGCTGATGTAGATCACACACACACACGTTACCATACACAGACCACAACCACATTAACACATACACAAACACATACCACACAAACACACCACACACACCCACACACATTAACATACACACACATATTAACACACATCCCACACACACATTACCTACACCCAATTAGACACACCCATGCACTCTCTCCTACACACACACTCACAGATCACACACAGTAACATACACACATGCACATTAACACAATGGACCACACACATTAACATATATACACTCACACACCGCAGGTATGTTTTTGTGAATTGTGGGGACATTCCATAGGTTTCTGTTGTTTTATGCTGTACAGTGTATTATCCATAGGGATGCAACAATTACAGATTTTGGTTGTGCGATTATAGTCTGAGGAATAATCACGGTTACCACGATTTTTATGCATTGCTAGTTTAGAAAATCACATGAAAACTGCTTATATTTTAAGTGTGATTTATTACTGCTTCGTAACCAAATAATACGACACAAAACAAACAATAGTCCAATTCACTTCGGACTTAAATTTTTTTTTTTTTAAGTTTTGGCATTTAAACATAAGTTATAATCTTACACTGAAAATAAATGTCAATGAATAAAAAAAATTATGTAAATCAATAAATAAATAAATAAAAATAAATGTAAAATAAATAAAAATAAATTAACTTTAAATAAATAAAATAAATTACAATAAATAAAATTTAAATAAATGAATATAAATTTTAATAAATTTAAATAAACTAGAAAACTAAATGTAAATAAATAAAAAAAATGACAATATATAAATAGTTTTTAAAGAAATTAATTTAAAATAAATAAATATATTTTTTAAATAAATAATAATAATAAATAAATAAAATACATAAATAAAATAAATAACTAAAATTAAAAATCTATAAATAAATGAATAAATAAATACATAGTATTTGTTTAATGTAAATCTAAGTTACATTACAAATGTTTTCAACTTTTGATCAACTATTTAACATAATTGTTTGGTATTTTTCATTTTGCATTTTTCATTTTGTATTGTTCTTCTCAGTGTAGGGCGCTCGCGGGATTCTTTCAACTAGTATGTGCGTCTAGAAAGCACGAGTCCGTCGTTCCATATATGCAAGCAATGCGCCTCCATTGGAAATAACGAACTTGCACGTGCAAAAGACGCGATATGTGACGGGCCCTTAGTTAATAGCCTCAGCCACAGTTAATCCAGTGTGCATGGTGTACAGAACAAGCTCAGAACTTCAAACTAGCACTCAGTTGGCATCACTTTAAGTTGCAGCAGTTTTGTTCCATGCAGAAACACAGTGTTGAGAAGCTTCATGATTAATTAACTGTGACGAATTATAGTGTGGTTAAAAGTGAAATCGGTTAATGATTGCATCCCTAATTATACACACATATTTCTCTCGCACAACCCAACACTAAACAGTGTGCAGATTTATTTGATGAAAAAAAAACTCATATCAGCAACGTCCTCATAATTCACCCTATAATAACACCTGTGTCATACCTATGACATTACACACACACCTGTACTCATACATCACACACACACTAGAGCTGTGCAATAGGATAGTGCATATCATTCATTCGTTTTCTTTTCGGCTTAGTCCCTTTATTAATCAGGGGTCGCCACAGCAGAATGAACCGCCAACTTATCCAGCATATGTTCTACGCAGCGGATGCCCTTCCAGCTGCAACCCATCACTGGGAAACACTCATACACACTCATTCGCACACATACACTACGGACAATTTAGCCTACCCAATTCCCCTGTACTGCATGTGTTTGGACTGTGGGGGAAACAGGAGCACCCGGAGGAAACCCACGTCAACATGGGGAGAACATGCAAACTCCACATAGAAACACCAACTAACCCTGCATTTGTCATGACGAACCACGTGGAGTCTGATCTTTTCGATTCAGATGTGTGCCACCTTCATATGTGCTATTAAATCAGACACAGATCTGATGCTCTGCAACATAACTAGCACACAGGTTGATAATGTGTCCCAAAAAGTGAAGGTTGTTTAGGGCTGTGCGATCTGGGGAAAATATCTAATTGCGATTTTTTTTGAGATATCGCAATTTCGATTTGATTTGCGATTTATTTTGTAGTCAAGCTTCAGCTCAATAATCTGTACCGTAGCTTCCTACTGATAAATGAATGTTAGTTAAATAAAAATGAAAAGGGAAAATCCCTTATTTTCACATCCCAATGTTGACAGAGGCGGTTCATTCCGCTGTGGCGACCCCAGATTAATAAAGGGACTAAGCTGAAAAGAAAATGAATGAATGAATGAATGAATGTTGACAGGTATGGCTCTAACACACACACACACACACACACAGAGAGAGAGAGAGAGAGAGAGAGAGAGAGAGAGAGAGAGAGAGAGAGAGAGAGAGAGAGAGAGAGAGAGAGAGAGAGAGAGAGAGAGAGAGAGAGAGAGACACTCGCCTCAGCTCGGTGTGGTGTTCTCCGTCAGCAGGGTTGGTGTGGCAGCAGCTGCTGGGCTCCAGATGCCGATGATCATGTTGATTTTGACCGCAGCAGAATCAGCACTCGCGGCTTTGCTGAACTCTCACATTCTGCGTGTTTCTGTCGGTAAACAGCGCTGATCTCACACTTTATTCTGCGTGTTTCTGTCGGTAAACAGCGCTGATCTCACACTTTATTCTGCGTGTTTCTGTCGGTAAACGGCGCTGATCTCACACTTTATTCTGCGTGTTTCTGTCGGTAAACGGCGCTGATCTCACACTATTCTCCACGGCGGTTTAGTCTTATTATAGTTGTTTATGTGCTGCTAACAACACCTCGCTAACTCGCTAAACTCACTCGCAAACTTTCCTGCGTCAATTAAAACACCACAAAACTCGATCAGACTGTTGACACACAGGTCAGCTTTTGAATCCTGAAGGTCAGCGCCGTGTTTCTGAGGAGATTTAACGCATTTATTGACGGTTTATCTTATCATTTCACGGCGCCGGTGTTTGACTGAAGCAAGTTAACAGCTCCGGCTGAACTCCACTTGATTGACAGCAGCAGGTGGTGACGCAATGCCGTGTGGGCGTGTCCAGAGGTAAAGCGCGCAAAACCAGAATCAAAACACGTCAATATGATAACATTACTGAAATCAACATGGCACACAGTACGAGGTGTAGTGTTTACAGACGTTTTGTCTTAGTTCTAGTATTTATATATAAAAGCATCTTTTAGTCAGGCAAAAAATGTAGTCTTGTTTTACAGAATTTTATCAAAATGAACAGGCTTCGTGACTTTACCAAGACTTTCAAAGTTTCATGTCATGTCTACATATACATGTTAAACAATAAGAAAATCAGTGTACGTTTAATTTTTATAGCATATTGTAAAACATGCGACAATCTATTAAGTTTACATTGATTTTTAAATGGGTGGCACGGTGGCTCAGTGGTTATCACTGTGGCCTCACAGCAAGAAGGTCTCTGGTTTGAGTCTCGGCTGGGTCAGTTGGTGTTTCTGTGTGGAGTTTGCATGTTCTCCCTGTGTTGGCATGGGTTTCCTCCGGGTGCTCCGGTTTCCCCCACAGTCCAAACAAATGCGCTATAGGGGAACTGATCAACTACACTGGCCGTAGTGTATGAGTGTGTGTGTGTGTGTGTGTGTGTGAGTGAGAGTTATTTGAGTGAGATGAGTGAGATTATTTGACTGCAAAAGAAACTTACTTTAATTTCTGTCAAACAGAAAATAGTTAAAGACAACTAACACACATTTTGAACACATCAAACATCTTGAGCATCCTTTAACACACAAAAATTACAATGATGATGTAAATGACTGAAAATAGAACAAAGTGCACTAATGACATGTGAAACACGACAAATAGTTCATCACATTATTAATAAAAATCTATTTAATCATCAGTAAACACTGCATACAGGTTAAATAGGTACTGTAAGCATCTATATTTACCCAATATTAGCATTTAAATATATATTCAAGTAAACAGATATTTGTTTACATTTCCATGACTTTCCCAAAACCTTGTGGGTTTATCTGTTTTCCCAAAATATATTCCATGATTGTACAAACCCTGAATTAAGTTTTCCTTTAAAATAAGCAAAGGAATTGGCCAGTGGTGTAAGAAAAATAAAGTTATTTCAAACCAAAAACAAGATGATTTCACTTCCCCCATTGGCAGATTATTTTACTTGTTTTAATTAAAAACTCACCATCTTTGACTAAGTATTGTTGAGAGCAAGACAGTATTTTTTGCTTGTACTCTTTGAATTTTTATATATTTGGTCTAGAAGCAAAATGCAAACTTCTTTGCAGTGTTGTCACTAAGGTGGCCCCTCCCTAAAGGGATAACACACACAGCTTTCTGCCGCTACCTGCCGAGTGAATATAAGTTTCCGGGAAATGTGGAGGGTTTTTTCTCTCATTCGCCGTGCGGTAGCAACACTGCATGAAAAATACACGTTTCCAGCAATTCCTCAAATCAAATATCTCATTTGTCACGAGGGGCATGAATGAAATTGCTGAATGAAAGAGCCAAACTGCAGTTAAAGTCCAACATTTAATCATTTGCCAAATGACTCGATTACTGATGTCCATGTAAACACAGTCACTGTCTTTCTCCCAAACCGACTCTCCCATTTTTGTGCAAATTTTTACAGACCATCCCTCTTTTGCTCCTCCGACACGCCTACTTTCCTGACATTTTCCACAGTAGAGGTGTGGAAAAACCCTGCTGAAACAAGGGGGTTTCATGACCCTTTAAATGCTTAAATAAATATACTAATAATAATAGAAAAATCATATGATCAGTTAGTCCTGACAGCATGTTTTTGAGTCATTTAAACTTATTAAACTAAGTCAATCATGTTTAAACTTAATTTTATAAGTTACGCAAGCTTTTTAAGTCTGTTTAACATTATAAGTTCAATGAACTCATAAAGTTAATTTGATACATTTAACAATTGAAGTTAACCAGAATTTGTTTTTACAGTGTACATTGATATGATTTAATTGAATTAAAAACATATTATATTTGTAAGTCATTAAGTTTCCTAGTGTTATTTCATTCATTTTTATCTATTTAGTTTACATTTATATATATATAGAAATGTGAAATGATTTAAATAAATAAAATAGCCCCAGCCAGGATTTTTTTTTACATCTAAAATTATTATTATAATTTAATCGTGACCTGTTTAAAGCCAGATGAATTACATCTTCTGAAGCCATTAATTTTTTATAACTCAGCCCCTCTCAGATTTTGAGACACCGAGTGTTGAGATAACCTGCATGCACAGGAATGCCATGTTCCCTGTCTGAAGCACATCTTCCACATCTGAGTTTCAGCTGAGGATGATGCAGCTGTAGAGACAGCACATCATGATAAATAACTCAGATGCTGCTTCAGACAGGCTTTAATTCACTGAAAAGCATTTAAACCCGATCCGAATTCGGCGCAGGTCTCTCTCGTCTCCACAAAGGCGTTTTCTCTGACGAAGCCCTGCTGAATTCATCAACTCTACTATGGCGAAGGATTGCTCATTAATATTCATGAGCTCCCGCTCTGCCATTGAAGGACAGGAGCGCAACGTCAGCGCGAGCCAATTAATATTCCAAAGCTGCGCTTCTCATTGGTAAATAAAGATGTGAAAATAAATAAATAAATAAATAAATAAAACAATTGTGTTTAAAACATTATTAGGTTTATTTATACAACAGATCTGACATAATTCAAAGTGCTTTACAAAAATTCATTAACATTGCTGAAACATTACAGAATACCTTAAAAAAATTATTCAACTAATGGATGGCAACAAGCAAACGATATGAAATTAACATCACATAATGATAAAATAAAAATAAAACAGGGTTTAAAATAATGGTTCAGAAACATTACACAAATTCACCGAATTAAAAACTAGGATGGCAAAGACTCGTCATCAGGTTTCTTTGAGTAATATAAAATTCTGTACTTCTCATTTGAAGATAGCAAAGATCATCATATGAGAAAATAATGCATACAATATAATAAAAATAAAACAATGGTGTTTAAAAACATTGTTCAAATATTACAGATCACATTAGGTCTTAACAAAAACAATTCAATTAATAAATAGAATCAAAATCAACATTGTTTGATATTCAAATACTGCACTTCCCATTGGAGGACAGCAAAGTAACGATCACGATTTAAAATTAACATTATATAACGATATATTAAAAACAAAACTCAAGCGTTGAAAATATTACAGAATAATAATTAACTTATCTGACTGACAGACAAGGAAGGCAACGTCAGCGGTGTCTAATTAATATTCAAAATCTCAATTTCCCATCGGAAGACATATGAAGCAAATATCGCAATATTAAATTAATATTGCACAACAATATGACAACACTATACAATAAAACACGCTATCGCCGAAATTATTACCAAATACAGATCATTCTCCGACTGAACGTCAGCGCTGTTCGATTAATATTCCAAAGCCTGGCGTCCGATTGGAGCGACTGCAGCACGACCTCATTAATATTCATGAGCCTCGCCCTCGCCGTACTAGGATCGGTAATTTGGGCGCATGCAGGCGTAATGCGGAGATCCCGGCTGGAGTCTGCGGTCTGATCCCGATCCGGAGCTCCACACGCCGGCCTGAGCTTCAGTGTGCGCCCGCCGGTCAGCCCGGAGCCCCGGAGCAGCAGGAGCCAGGAGCCGCCGAACATGCGCTGATCCCGGCGGCGGAGAGACGGCGAGCTGCCCTGCAGATCCTCCACAGGTAAAGCAGAGCCTCCAGCCTCCATCACATTTGCGCAGTGGAGGAAAAAAACAGCCGAACATCTGGAGAAACGCGCGTCTGCATCCGCGCAGAAACACTGAAGGTCATGATAGCGTGTATCTGCTGCAGATGAGGATGCTCGACATCTTTATATCGATAAATGACCGCTGTGTGCTCACATCAGTGTGTGTGTGTGTGTGTGTGTGTGTGTGATCCAGACTGAACACTGGCCTTCACACACTCAGCACAGACACACCGCTGCCTCAGACGCATGATGTCGAGGATCTTTGCATTTTGTGATTGTGTTTTTGCATGGAAATGATCTCCCTGACTGGAGGATTGAGCATGCTCACATCTAAAACAGGCTCCGAGTCTGAAATCAGCTCTTCTGACTGTTATTTTAGGCTGCTACAGATACATGCTATATATACACGCGCGCGGATGAGGACTGAGCATCATATATTAGTCGACAATCATTTAATCAGTGCATATAATGGCTGAAATATATATAGTAGTGGGCAAAATATTCATCCTCCTGTGAAATAATCATTCTTTTTTATATTTATCAAGTCATACTTAATGGATTAAGAGACATTTCCTATAATATTTTTCCTTAATATTTTAAACAGCATTTTAAGCTCAACATTATTCGCCCCTTCAGCAATATTAGTGTTGGATTGTCTCCAGAACAAACCACTGTTATACAATGACTTGCCTAATTACCCTAACTTTACCCTAATTACCCTAGTGAAGCCTTTACATGCCACTGTAAGCTGAACACTAGTGTCTTGAAGAATATCTAGTCTAATATTATGTGCAAAAATAAAGAGAAAATAAATCTGTGATTAGAGATGAGTTATTAACACTGTTAGAAATGTGTTGGAGAAAATCTCCATTAAACAGAAATTGGGCAAATAACAGAAGGGCGGATAATTCAGACTTCACCTGTATATAGAGCAGCAGCTAAATTTCTAGTATGAATGTTATTTGGTCATTTTTACTTTTGATAAATGTGTCTAATTTTAACATAATAATTATTTTTATTCATGTGTTTTAGTCTTATTTTGCAGTACAAATAAATCTAAGCATGTTTAATTAAAGATGCATTTATTACAGAGGCAAAATAAACAGAAAAACAAAAAAACTTCTAATGGGGTCAGAATGATAATTTTCCATTTCCTTTTGTCGCACAGATTTATGATCTGGTTTTTTAAATTCATTGCAATATTTTGTTTAGACTAGAAAACTTAATATTTATAACATAAGTC